TGTCTTCAATCTTATTTTGTTGAAAAAGTCCTGATATAATGGTATTGTGAATTATATTGAATCGTGTGTTTAGAGACATGTCTGGTCTCTAGTACACTTAAATGTGTTGACAGAAATAACGAGCCCTCCTCTGTCAACAGACGGAACCTGTAACCTTAGCGACTGTACACACACAATGTTTTTTGTTTTTTGGTCACATTGTGACAGTTCATTTTTTATCCACAAGGGGGAGCCTCTGAGTCATTGTTTAATGTGGGGCCGCTTAGTTCATTGATAGAGTAAGTTTAGAGACGCCGTGAGACTGCAACCAAAGTGTATTAGTCACACCGACATCACTTATCTTACTGAAGTGTTTCATTTTGTTTTGAATGTTTTCATCTGGATGATTTAACCTTCCTTGATATTAGTGTATTATTAAATGGATCAACTTTAGACTATTATGGAGCTTTCTACGGAAGAAAACTGTCACAGCAGATATCATCAGTGTGCCTGATGAAAGGTTACTGAGAAGACTGCAGATAATAGTACACCTGATATAACAACAAAATGCATGACAAACCTTCTGTATCAGCACACTCACACTTTGTTCGGTGTGTTTCAGATATTGTGGTAATAAACTCAGAGTGGTTCCTGGGATACTTCGTCGGGAACACTGTGTGGCTCATCGCCATCGGTTATTATCTCTACATCACGTTTTTAGGGTACAACGGTAAGTCCCATTCATGTTTTAATACATTGAGTTACGTTGTTATCAATCATTTTTCTTTACAGAATTGACTCTATTGACATTACATTGATTATCTTTAAGAAGTCCTTAACCGGAACTGATAAATAAATCATTAATCATCTTCTCTTTAGTCAGGATTTACTTATTTCTAGTCTTCTTATGTGAATTGATAATTTTAAGAGGCAAGTTTTTTAGATACCAAACAATATGTCAGTTAATTGAGGATGAGGAGGATTCTACACACAGGCTAATAGCCATTGATTGAAAACATGTAATTAATGCAGCACTACAGAGAGAGTGCCAACATAATGATAACTGTGATTTACTGCCATAAATGAAATTAAATGTACTACAAGGAGTTTTTAACTGGTTATAACAAGTCTCAGTATAACACAGAGGCCTCTCTATGAGCTACATAAACAATCGGATTCCCCTTGAAATCAATGAAACAAGCCGGTAGAAACAGTGTCCATAGGGGCCACCAGAATCAACACAAAATGAAAGGTCCTTGTAGGGGCTTTAAGGAGGTTGAGGGACCATTCATGTGAATGCGTCACCGTTTAGCATACCCTGTTAAAGGAGTCGGACTGTTCACTGTGAAGTTATAGGTCTGTAATGTTGGCAGTGTCTGCTGTCTGTCAGTGTGCTGATCTATTCGTCTGTTCCACACAGCTCTACCCTTCCTGAAGAACACTGTGGTGCTGCTCTACCCCTTCGCTCCGCTCGCCCTCGTCTACGTCCTCTCTGTCTCTCTGGGATGGAACTTCACTCAGGGTCTCTGCTGGTTTTACAAGTACAGAGTCCAGTAGGACCAGTTTGCCTCTGAGGTTGGACACTGGTCAGCTCCAGTCTGACTCTGAATCTGTTTTCAACCCACATTTAGGTGACAGAGATTCCACTTCCAGCTTCTGTCAGTCAACATCTGGTTGAGGAGGGTTCTGGTTAACTCTCTGTAAACTGGGACACTGAGCTGGTTGACTGTTTCTCAACTCTCAATTGACTCCTGTTGAATTTCTGTTTGGCTCTTATGTTGAGCTGGAGCTCCAGTCCGTGAACAGTGATACTAGTTGCAGAAACGGGGACGGGGATGAGATACAGCTTTTACGGTTGTTTTTTTTGTATGATTTGTAAATAGTACTCTGGCAGGTTGTAATATATACGCAGACGATTGTTTCTGAAGAGAAAGAATTTGCTTTGTTTCTTTGAGTTTTCTTATAAAAAGACTGAAAAAAATCAAATCGAATCCTGATTATTGAAGAGAAAAAAAGGAAAGTGGAGGAACATGGGATGCAAACTTAATTTTCCGTTTCTTTTTTTTCTAAAAGTGTACATTCCAAAGCACTTTCAATAAAAGGTTTTATTAACTTAAGTTGCCTTGGTTTTATGACCTGGAGGAATACATCAGATTCTTTCCTGTTGCTTTTCTGACAAATGTTTTTTGCCATTAGCATTGAATGTGATATAAAAATTATGTTAAATGTTACTGTGTTATAAGTTCCTAGGACATGCCTTAGAATAAACTATGTAATTTGGCTATTGGGAAAATGTAAACATGCTGAGACAGTTAACATAGTAAGAACCAGGGAATTAATACAATAGCAACAGGTACCGGTAGCAGGCAAGGTGAGCAATTAAACTTAAGTTTTAATATGAAATGTGTGGTATAGTTTAATTTGAAGTTGTGAACAGAAACCAAAATATAACAATCATTAAATAAAACATTTTAAGTTCTCACAACTCAATTACATTGTTTAATCTCAAGGCCCCTGGAGCCCTGGGGCAGTTGCTCACCTTGCCTGATTCCTAAACCAACCATGATAATGACATTTGTGAACACCACAGAGACATTGATCAGAGACATTTTTATTCCCTTATTCATGATTAAACTCAGTCTGTTTATTACCCACAGCCCAGAGTGAATTATGGGTTACAGAAACTCACATACACAGACACGGAAAAGCATTTAAATGCATCTACTTGTCATAGTGCTAGTTCAAGACATGTAGGGGAAATATATACTAATGCTACCACTCATATTTGGCCTATAATGCTGTAGAATAGATTTTTATTGGCACATTCTGATGGGGTAGTATATTTTAAGTCAGAGCAGCGCGAAGCTAAAAAAAATACACTCGCACCATTCCTCGAATCCATCTGCCTGAAAACGAGTTATTCTAAACGACCGGTGCGACCTGTAAAGATAGATTTTTAGAGAAGTTGTGCTATTTCAGTGCATCCATTAACATTTGTTTGAACCTCTCCAAGTCCACTTTCTTCATGATGGAGGCCTTATGTGTCTTGTTGAGCAGGCCCATGTAGTCCAAGACCATCATGCCTCGGGTGTGAGTCCCCTCCAACTCCACCGTCACTGCAAACTGAAGGAGGAAGAGGAGAAGTCTGTTACTAAAACCTCTTGTTTGTGTCTTTTCTGCAGATGCTTTAGTAGGAAGCCAGTGTCTTTTAATCACTTAGTTACACTTAATGAACATATTAAATGGTTGAAAGCAGCATTTTAACCTGTTCACTCTCCGTCACAAGGGCGTCATCGATGGCTGCAGCCACAGCGTAGGTGTCACAGGAGTTGAACCCAGGTCCTGCCACCAGCTCCTTCTGGTACCGCTCAGTCTGGACCATCTGCAGGGACAACAATCGAAGAGACGTGTGACATTTGTTCTGAATTCTTGTTCAGCGTGTTGAACTGAAACACTCGTACCTTCCTGGTGTGGTGGGAAATCCTCTCCATGAAACGGGCCTTGTCTGTGTCTTGGGCCAGCCAGGTGTCACAGAAAGACTGATGGAGGAAAAGACAAAAGACAAAGATGTCTGTTATTGTTGGCTCTATTACGGAAGCCCTGAGAAGAAAAGAAAATCTGTTGATCCATTTTAAAAGACATTTTCAAAATTTTTTTATTCTTCTGTGTGTTTATGACTTTGGAACAGATGAAAGAAGGACTTTGACAGGATCATTTTTCTAGGGAGTTAGTATAAGTTTTGGCTGATGATTTTTTTTAATTTTTTCTGTCAAGATGATTTTTTTAAGCATCTATTGTTATAATACTCATTTCGGCCACATTTGGCCTCTTGTGGCCGAAATGAGTATTACAACAATAGATGCTTTAAAAAAAAATACTAACTCCATAGAAAAATGTAGTGCACCACTACCCCATTTTCTAAATAGCACTCTTTTTTTCCAGGTGGGTTTTAATTTCTCTTAGAAATCTTGCCAAATGAAAGACATGACAGTAATGTTATACAGTAATGGCAAACACAGAAGCTATTTGTTTAGGGTGCATTTTTTTTTAGGTCAAGCATAATTCAAAGGAATGGCTGAATCTGCATTAATTGCAACTTCCTGGAGGGACAGAGGACACAGGAGAGAACACAATTTAGATCAGTCTTAGAAAATGGATCACCAGACTATTTTTTTCCTCACTTGCGTCTCAAGGCTTCCGTACCCTACACTTATTTCAGGTTCAATGTTTCCGGTCATGACTTCATTGGCAGTTTTGTTCATTGTTGCAACTTTAATTTATATAAGAAAGTAACAACAGACCCATGGCAGGCTGTTCCTGCAGCTGAACTCCCAGCTGGCGATATAGGTGGGACAGGTGTAGCGGTCCAGCACAACGTAGGCAGCCTCAGGGTCAGCCACAAAGTTAAACTCTCCACACTCACTGGTGTTACCCCTGGCTGTGTAAAACAATGTGCCCGACACTGAGTTTAACACTCACAGTTGATGTTAACACAAATAAAAACACACAGATAACATACAGTCAATGTTTCCACCCATGATGTAGAGCGCCTTCAGTTTCTTATGGATGGAAGGGGCCAGTTGCACTGCGACAGCCAGGTTAGTGAGGGGGGCCGTGGCAACCAGACTCACCTGCGCACACAGCAAGTGAGACAAATAAAGCCTTTAAACTTCAGCCAACATGTACCATCTGTTGTGGGTGCATGATTTTCACTCTTACTCACACTTATTTCAAAGGCTAATTATCAGACCAACTTCATCATAATGTGTTATGTGCTAGATTGGTGGCGATTGAGGTTCACCCTCTACCCACCTCTCCAGGGTTTTCTTTCACAATATCGATCATGGCCTGCACAGCTTTCTTCTTCTGCACCAGCTCCAGGCCTGGAGCGTCTGGATCCGGGACATCGCCCAGCCCGTCCTTCCCGTGGTAATCTCCAGCGTGGAGTTTTCGAGCCAGCAGGGGTTCTGCACAGCCACGGTACACTGGGATCTGTGGAGTATTATAGCTTATAAATAAAGTGAAGTCTAAGTCTAAGCTTTCATTTCATGCAACATGTTTCACATGCAAGCTTTCATATGGCAAAATCTTACATCCAGCCTGTTGCAGGTTTTCAGGACACGGAGTGTGTTCTTGCAGGCATTGTCTAGTACTGTGTTGCCATGGCAGCAGGTGATCCCCAGGATCTCCACATTGGGGGCTGCAAGGGCCATCATGATGGCCTGAGCGTCATCCACCCCTGTGTCCACGTCAAGGATCAACTTCTTCATCTTGTCTGGAGGAAATGGAAGAAGGAGGAGGATGTGTATTCAGAGAATGATTATTCTTGCATCCAAATAGGAATATTTTCAGCAGTGTCCTACTAGAATCTGACCCACATCAGCTTTGTCCTCCACTACACACAAACAGCTGTAGCTCATAAATCAATCATGGGCAGCTGTAATCTAGGTGAGCTCATTTGTCAGCTGCTAAAAAACACTCACATAGACAGAACCAGTGTGCTGGGAATTGGGAATGCACTCGTAATGTCACTCCAGTGCTGCACATTGTTGTTTAACACATTCTTCACATGAGTCAAAGAAGAAATATTTATGGGGTGGCAAGAGGGTGTCATGGCAGAAATGTGTGCTGATTTAATCACAAACAATCACATATATTACTATTTTCTTGAAAAAGTCCCTAAATTAATATATTTGAACTCAAAAACATTATATTATTACAGCACATTAGTAAAGCACTGATTAGAAACATCTAAAGGTAGCATTAGAAATCCATAATTCCGAATCTTCCATATACAGTCTTCTTTCACGGAACTTAAGCCTATCACTTAGTCTAAAATGCAGCCATAACAGATCTTTAAATTAATTTCCATTTCCTAACATGTTTTTTAATGAATCTATTGTGTTAAATTTAGAGGTAGGTAGAGAACAGAGAGATGAACTCACCTGTCAAAAAAGGTTTCAGCAACAAGGTTTATCCTTTTCCAAAGTGCACATCAACTGCAGTCCTAAAGTTAAAACTCTGCCACACTCTGCTTTTTATGCAGAAGGAAATGTGGAAAGGTTATGCAACAACCAAAAAACAAAAGCACAGGCATATTTCGTTAACCAATGGCAGCATAGTTGAGGATGGTTGTTGATTGATTCAAGCAAAAGAAAAGAATAGGAAGGGCTATATATAATGTAATGTACTGAAGTTACACAACAGTGTTAAGTTTGTTCCGTTCCTGTGTTGTGTTTTGCAGGCAAGGATCAGGATCAATTCCTCTTCCCAGTTGAGGACTTGTTTCTCATGTTTCATTATGTCTACAAGTCTACAACCACACCATATTTTTCTTCTTTTCATGGCAAGTTCTTAATAAAATTAAGTCTCTGTTTTCATGCCATTTGTTTGCACATCCGCAAGAGACTTTGATGGTCATCCCAGGCTGTACTGTTTGGTTCAGCTTGGTGTTGAGGCTTTTTGGATGAAGGATTTGACCAACCACTCTGCACTTCTTCATGTGTTCATACTTGGCCCTTAAATGAGAACACTGTGCACATCTGTGATTAAATGCATTATTCAAGCACAGTATCATTAATAATATAAATATGGCTCTGACTTTGAGAGAATCTCCCACTTTTAATGTGTTGCATGTAAAGGCAAATTTTATTGAGACCAGACAGGAACTTTGCGTGGTGCTATGATGAGTTAGTGCAAGGAGCTGAAAAGCCAGTGGAACATGTGGTTGATGTCACTTGAAAGCTGTCTGCTTGACAACTATTATTCCCTAGATGTGTGAGGCATTTGCTCCTAATTTTTATTTTTATTTTTATTTTTTGCAAGAACAAAATACTATACTCATTTCTTATTCCAGAGTGTGGAAATATGGCAGCTTCTTATTCATTTTAATGGATTTTGTGATAGCTGAAGTAGGTCTCTCAAATGTGAAAATGTCAGCTAAAGAGATGTACTAAAGGTGTATACTAAACTTTTGACTGATCTATAAATGAATAGTTGGAATATTTCCACTTTAATGAATGTCTTGAGGGTTACATGAATGACTGGAGAGGCAAACAATAGGCAGGAGGCGTTATTAGTCAATAGGTATCTAGCTTCAGTGAAGGACCACCTGTGTGTGCCTTTGCCTATGTGTCACTGAGTAAGTCTCTCTCAGTTTACATGTGTTTATGTAGAAGAGAGTGTACTCGTGCAATAATGTAAGTAAAGTAGATTTGGGGAGGGTCCGTTCACTGGACATGGTGGCACAAGCACATTTAAAAATTGTCACCTATTGATAGGTTAAGATGAAATGGAGCTATTTCAGGGTTAATCATAATTTAATTATCTGGCAGACAGAGCACAAAGGGTCACTTAATAAAACCACCTCAAGTATTAAATCAGATGTTCCCAGGGATCATCGTTTGGCCCATTGCATTTCTTTATTTACTTTTTTAACACGTTGGTGATTTACTACTTTACTTGAGTACTGCACAGATCTCCTTAAAGCTGTTCTAATCAGAGACCAATTCAGACTACGTCTCCACTAAGGCCAAGAAAGTGGAACACTTTGCACTCATTCCCTCCAAGTGTTTTAAAGAATTTTAAATTCTACCATCGGAATATGAAGCACAGAATGCTATAACTGAATGTTACCTCTCAGTAGTTTAAACTACACGTGAAGATGTTGCGTTCACTTTCGTTGTGTTCACATATCTGGGACCTACTCCAATAAAACTCAAGGTCTGCTCCAAGCTTTAAACTTTTCTATGTGCCACTGCCTTTCATTAATGCAATGTAACGGCACAGTGCAGTTTTATTCCCCTGTGTATTCTATTTTATTTCCTTTTAGCTCAGTTTTAGCTTCTTTTTTATTTTATTTCTTATGAATTGTGTTTCTTATATATCTTGCATGCATTATATGTAAAACACTTTTCTTGCCTTGTTGTCGAAAGGTGCTATATGAATCAGCTTACCTTGCCCTGCTTACACATTAACATGAGCCAGTAATAATGGACACACCAGTAGAAGTGGCATGGGTTGAGGAAAGACAAAGTTATTTCTAACTGTTAAAAAGTTAGACTAGTAAAAAAACATTTAAAATATGTTGACATCATGGTTAAAAATGTCTGTAGATGAGAATCGTAAGAGGTAATTGCTGTTTTTCCCAGTACTTGCTACACAGTCAACTGTCCATCTAAAAGAGTGAAAATAACATTAAAATCCTCACCTGATGAACAGATAGTGAAGAGTTGTGTATGAAAGAGGCAACAGGCAAACTGCCTCCATGGGTGTCTTTCTGCAGACCTTTGATAAAATGTATTACCTTTGACCTGTGTTCAGTGACTTCCAAAGAAGTGAGTAGTATTTTGAACTTTACAACAATGGGTAGTATTTACCATATTGTAAGATGTATTTATAGCTGCCTGCAGGGCTGCCTGTAATGGAAAACACACTGTTTACTGCTTTAGAGGAACAACAATAAAACAAAAGGGAGGAGCGTTGTTAGGTATTGAAAGCTTTTTATGGAAAGTCATTACTTTTAAAAGGTCCAGTGTGTAACAGGTAAGATTATCTATTGGCAAAGAATTGAATATAATATTCATAGGTATGTTTTCATTAGTGTTGTGTTAACTGTCTGTACAACTTATCTTATTCAGTATTCAGTCAAAGGGAACAGTGAAAAACATCTGTGAGACATCTGTGGTTTGAATATAACCTCATGCAGATCTTTGGTTTCCCGTGTGACAATAAAATGTGTATTCTAAGTATAGCTGATTGGGTGTGTTTTTCCTAGAATGAACATAAGAATGTTTCTTGTTTTGCAGGCCAGCTTTACAAAAGAAAAATTCAGCTGATGTCGGACGATACGACTTCCAGTTCATCCCAAATGTCAGTGCTCCATGCAAACCAGTCAAGTTCTTCCTCACCAAACTAGTGAAACCATTTTATAAACCTCACTCTGTGTATATGTGCATAACATAAGTACACACCAGAAAATGTTGTGTATTGTAATATTGTGTAATATTGTGTTTTCACACACCATTTTTATTTATTTTTGGGGACCAAATCCATGCATTCAGCTTGTTACAGTATCACTCTACTTCAATGAATTCATTAACATTTGCTTGAACTTCTCCAAGTCCACTTTCTTTATGATGAAGGCCTTGTTTTTCTTCTTCAGCAGATGCATGTAGTCCAGTACCATCATGCCTCGGGTGTAGGTCCCCTCCACCTCCACTGGCACGGCAGCTGGTGGAGGAACCACAGACATTTTGGAATAGAATGTAATAACAATTTTTCTTTTTCTTAGTATATTTTTGGGGCTTTTTATTGCCTTTATGACAGTGACAGCTGGAGACAGACAGGAAAGGGGGGCAGAGAGAGGGGATGACACGCAGCAAAGGGTCGCAGGTCGGATTAGAACCCTGGGCCGCTGCAGCAAGGACTCAGCCTCGGTACATGCATCGCCAGCTCTACCTACTGAGCCAACCGGGCGCCCTGGAATAATGATTGAAACTGAAGTTTTATACTTTAAAGACACAAAAGCAGTACATGCTCACCTCTTCAGACTCTTTTATGAATGAATCATCGATGGCGGCAGCCATGGCGTAGGTGTCACAGGAATTGAACCCTTTTCCTTCAGTGACCTCCTTTTGATATTCTGCTGAATGGGCTTTCTGCAGAAACAACACATCATGAAAACACAATTAGAATGTTGTAACTGAGGATCATATAGCACTGAAAGGACCAGAGGAGGACCATGGCATAAGCAGACTAAACAGCTGCCACTAGAGGGCCCCCAAACATCAAATGTCTCTGTTTTATCCACTTATTTATTGTCATACAGAAGCATGTATAGATACACCTTGTAATTACTCTCATAGCACTTAATCATGTCAATCATATCAGGATAAAAACAAGTAACAGTTCTGTGGGTTTAATGCAAATATTTAACAAATTGCACATTTTGGGTGTATGATGGGGTTCTATAACAAAGTCTGTTGTGTGTTATGTACTTTTTTTGTACTTTTCACTTGTGCCAGCCCTGGTAAACATATGTGAAATGCTGTATAATCATAAGGAAAATGCAGAGACACTATAAGAACACTGAGTGCCAAGTAACCCTTCTGAAGACACTGCATGGTTGAGCAAACATGCTCAGTGTTGCATTCCTGCAATGTATAACCTTACAGTTAAGGATGCTGTATGACAGATATGTGATATGCTTCCACAGATTCCAGACCTGCGAGCTGGTGGTGCGCGGGGCTCAAAAGCTGCGGGGGAAGCTGAAATACAAAGATTTTCCAATCCACATATTCGAGGACTACTGCTCTGAGATACTGGAACAACGCTCGGTGTATCGCGACATCATGAAGGAGCTCTACAACCTTGGCCTCAAACCTGCCCTCCATTACCCGGCTAAGCTGTTCATCATGACCACAGAACGGAAGAGGAGACGGCTCGCTTCCCTCAAAGACGCCCAAGATTTCATCGAATCTCGCTGCCGACTCAGCTGCGAGACTACAGAGGACTGATTTCATTGGGTGCGTTCTCACAGGACTGCCATTTGCCGCGGCTTTTTAAAATGGCTCTGCTGCTTCTGCATAGATCAACCTACCCTCAAAGATTTGCTCTGATTGGATTTCTTCCCAACTTGTCCCACAAAAAGAGTAGTTCTGATTGGATCTCTTCTCCATTCCTCCCTCCCTAACATTTTCGTCTTTTCGTCCGTGAAAAGGGTTCGTTGACGAATATTTTTCGTCATAGTCTTAGTCAATGAAATTAACACTGATTGTTATTCATAAAGGCTGGAAGTGCTGTTCACCATGTTTGTAACTCTACTAGGCTGCTGCTTTGTTTGCACTTGAAACTGTTTTTACTTTTCATTGAACTCATGTGCTATACTAAGATGTGGACAGGTTGGAGCCAGCACCGGAAGAACCAAGCAGATGCAAGGACAATGCATCACCTAAGGCTCTGTTTACACAATGGGAATCTCAGGTCCTGGGACTGAGGTTAAGTCATTGGTCATGTATATGTTTGTTTAGTGTGTATGAATGCGTTTTATCTTGTCTTGTCTGTCTCTTTTTTCTCTCCCCTTCTCCTTTCTCTGACACCCAACACTTCCATATTGGCTGCCCCCCTCCCTTCCCTTTTACACCACAGCCTTGTTCCCCTACAGGGCTTGTTTCATGGAATGTGAGAGGGGTAGGGGGTGCCACTAAATCTGGTAGAATCATGGCTCACTTGCAACAGCTCAAAGGGGACATATTTTTTATTCAGGAGACCCATCTGCGCAACAAAGAGGTGCCACGACTTAAAAGAGCTTGGATTGGCCACCTATTTCATTCTAAATTTAACGAGAAGGCCAGGGGCACAGCTATTCTGATTCGTAAAAACATCCAGTTTGAACCTCACAAAATTGTGGCAGATCCTGCAGGTCGCTTTATTATTGTCTCTGGCAAACTACAGAGCATCCCAGTTGTTCTGGCTAATGTCTACGGCCCTAACTGGGATGACAGTGCATTTATAACCAAACTTTTTACATCCTTTCCAAACATTGATAACTACCATATTATTATGGGAGGAGATTTCAATTTGGTCCAAGATCCGATACTTGACAGATCCTCTAACAAGGTGTTCCCTCTAACCAAGTCAGCTAAGACTCTTATCACTTTTGCTGAACAACTTGGGCTTTCAGACCCATGGCGGCGTAAATTTCCCACAACTAAACTTTTCTCTTTTTTGTACACCGCACTTATTCTCGCATAGATTTTTTCCTCCTAGACAACAGACTCTTCCCCAATGTTAATTCCTGTGACAATCACAGTATTGTCATATCGGACCATGCCCCGACCTCCCTTGACCTCAATTTTCACATACAGATCAAACCCTTTAGACAATGGAGGTTTAACTCTGCTTTATTAGCTGAGGACTGCTATTGACAATTTTTGCGCTCCCAAATTACACTGTTCTTTGAATTGAATGACTTGTCGGAAACTAAAAGAGGAACGTTGTGGGAGGCTTCGAAAGCCTATATCAGAGGTCAACTAATTTCTTTTGTCTCAAACTTGAAGAAAACCGAATCATCCCATATGGCGGATTTGATGCAACAAATAAAAGATGTTGACAACAAATATTCATCCGACCCAGATCCTAATCTCTATAAAGAATGTCTTAAGCTACAAACAGACTTCGATTTGGCATCCATAAACAAAGCAAAACTACAAATACTCAAATCCAGACAGCGTTTTTTTGAATCTGGGGATAGGGCTGGAAAGCTTCTGGCTCACCAGGTCAGGGCCGAGGCATCTTCGAGATTAATCCCAGCTATTAGCTCCGAACAGGGAGAGACTTATACTGATCCGGTTAAAATTAACGAAACTTAACAAAAGGGCAACCTCGCACCTTTCTTTACGTCTGTCCTATGTTCCCAGCTTCCCCTCCCTGCAACCCTCCAACCCTGCAACCCTTCTGAGAGCAACCCAATTGTGCCTGCCTCACTGAAAATATAGACCCAACTCAGGAAGAACTTTGGCTTGCAGGGCCCTTCCATCTTCTCCCCGCTTTTTAAAAACCATGCCTTCAGACCCTCTAACATAGACTCAACATTTAAAATCTGGCACAGTAAAGGTATCATCAGCATCAACGAGCTGTACACACATGGTATTTTTTCGTCTTATACAGAACTCTCATCAAAATTTAATTTGCCGGGCTCCCACCTCTTTCGTTTTTTCCAAATCGTTAGCCTCATAGCATAATTGCTTAAGTCATATTTCAATGTTTTTGGAAAACAAGAAAAAACACAATTTTTAGAAAACATATTGATATTTTTTATTGATATTGTAACAGTACATTCAACCAGATGTGTGAACAAGTATGCAAAAGGAAAAAGACCGATCATCAATTAACTAACAAATAAAAGTGACTTATATATAGAATATGCCATGACATAGGCATTTTTTCTCTTACATATAAATGCAAACATCACATAACCAAAGTGCTTTTATTCTCCTAAATATAACCAATATGTGTAACAAGATTCAACAGGAACAGTTGGTGAGACACATCATGACCGGGCCTCTCGCTATCTGTGATGGTGGCTACGTACCACCTTGCTTTTGAGTCTGGACGCTGGGGCATGTCGCGAATCGCAGTCTGAAGAACATCCTCCACTCGCGGTCACTGGTCTTGTCCTGCAATCGTGCCGATCCGATCGCGCTCAGGACGCTTACCATGACTGTGCCGGCAGAAAGCGCTATACGAAGGTGGCACGAGTATATGCACCTCCTCATCAATAGTACGTCAATAGTATTTGAAATGAGTTGCACAGCCCACTGGTGGAACTTTGATTTAAGATGGAAGGAACAGTGGTAGAGGTTAGATTAGAACAATTGGTTAAGTTGACAGTTGCTGCGTAACAGTGATATTTCAAAACAGTGAGTAGAAAGCAATGCAAGGAAAACCAATTTATTTAAAAGAATAACAAGAGCTCGTAGCTTAAAAAGCAACTAAAAACCAACACAGAGGAACCCCCCATAATCAGCCTAAAAATAACTAAAGAGTCTCGCTAAAACTAATGCGGCACGGATGGAGTAGAAGGTCAACATATGGCAGGCGGTCTCTGGTCGCGACCACTGCTTCAACCTGTCGCTCTTTGCATAGCCTGTAAGGAAACTCAGGCCAGTCATGTCCTTTAATAAGCACAGCTTCTGTATATGCCACACAACGACCAAACACCGGTCCTGTGAAACGAACTTACGCGGGAGGAAATTTTACTGTCTCGCCAACTGTACCGCTATCGCGGTCGGTTTGTGTTACTCCAGTGTCTCTCAGACCTCTCCTATGCCGCCACGCTCCGTCTTCGCGTTGCTCCTGCTCGCCGGCCATTGTGCCCTCTCTCCTCCCTCTGTCCTTGACTCCCGTCTTCCGTGTGTCCTTTATCTAGAAAACGATCACTCCAACTCAAATCCCAGGTGCAAGTCCTAACCTGATCACTGAGCATCTCCATGGCGGAAGTGAAAACCAGCATTAAAACACACCCACAAGCACTCAAATAAACAGCAAGTAAGAGAAACACATCAACAGCTAAAACACAGAAAATCCAAAGTAAAGCATGGCTACGGATAAACAAAACTTCCGCCCGTGATATCTGCCTCACTGATGTGTGAGTCGTAGGATCCCAACTCAAGAAAAGCCGTTGGGTGCACGCCCTTCCATCTTCTCCGTTTAAAACCATCTCAGACCTTCTACGCATAGATCACATCCTCCAAATCGTCGACATAAGTTATCAGTCAGGCATCAACGAGCTGGTACACACGATGGGTTTGGTTTCCTCTTTACAGAACCTCGCTCAAAATTTAATTGCGCCCCACTTTCGTTTTTTTGCCGAAATCGTTCACGCCTCCTAGCATAATTGCGTTACAGTCAATTTCAAGTTTTGAAAGCAAGAAAAAACACAATTTTAGAAAACATACTGATATTTTATTGAATGAACAGACATTCAACCAGAGTCGTGACAAGAGCAGAAAGAAAAGACCGATCATCATTAACTACAAATAAAATGCTATCTATAGAATACTGCCATGACATAGCATTTTTTCACAATATAAATGCAAACATCACAAACCAAAGTGTTTTATCTCCTAAATAAAAC